TCTATGAATCTATATCTATACGATAAAGAAGAAGTTCTGCAGTATAAACTGTACTATACATACTATAAATACAAATATTATAATAAAATTTAAATATTAAATAAAAAATATTACTGAGATCATCCTGTTATCCCACAGGCTATATAGATGAAATTGCACTGATATACCTATATAACTGATACTATTTTTACCTTGAATTATCATGCACAAATTTTCGTTCTCTGTTTAGATTTTAATTAATATAATTATACGAAAATCTTAAAAATATAATTTCAAAATCGAAAGTCCAAAGTCCAAAGTCTAAAGTCCAAAGTCCAGTCCAGTGTTTACAATATGCCCCACCTCAATTGTATTACGAACGAGATTCAACGTCAAAACTGTCTACTAGTTAAGAAATGTCTCGAAAAACAAACGAATAGCTCAACATTTGACAATTATTTTAGAATGCTGAGTCATGAAAAGTCAACAAGAAACAATAATACTGTTATTGAAATACCACGAGTAAAACTTGAAGTTGCAAAGCAAAGTTTTTATTTTGCTGGAGCAAAACTTTTTAACAGTCTTCCGATGGAAATTAGGTTGGCAAAACAATTTACAGAGTTTAGGTCACTTATTTTTGACCATTTTCAATCATAACTTTTTAACTTTTTAAGGTAGTTTCTTTTTGCTGTGTTGGTGTAATATGTACTCAGGTGGATAAGATGCTTGTGATGTTATACTCTGAGTGTATATCCACACCGGGCAGGCTTGAAAAATATGCCTGGCCACGGTGGGAATCGAACCTACGACCTTTGGAATACTAGCCCAGTGCTCTGCCAACTGAGCTACGCGGTTAGGTCGGTTCGATCGCTATGTGATATTTCGGAACTGAGTCTAGTTCCTTCGATATTAATGTAATCTAATAATCATGATATTTGCTGTGTTGGTGTAATATACTCAGGTGGATAAGATGCTTGTGATGTTATACTCTGAGTGTATATCCACACCGGGCAGGCTTGAAAAATATGCCTGGCCACGGTGGGAATCGAACCTACGACCTTTGGAATACTAGCCCAGTGCTCTGCCAACTGAGCTACGCGGTTAGGTCGGTTCGATCGCTATGTGATATTTCGGAACTGAGTCTAGTTCCTTCGATATTAATGTAATCTAATAATCATGATATTTGCTGTGTTGGTGTAATATACTCAGGTGGATAAGATGCTTGTGATGTTATACTCTGAGTGTATATCCACACCGGGCAGGCTTGAAAAATATGCCTGGCCACGGTGGGAATCGAACCTACGACCTTTGGACCTACGACCCAAAAATCGTAGGTTCGATTCCCACCGTGGCCAGGCATATTTTTCAAGCCTGCCCGGTGTGGATATATACTCAGAGTAACATCAAAAGCATAGTTTCTTTTTATTAACTTTTTAGGCAGTTTCAGTCAAAAACAGGACAAACCAGGATAGCAGAGTTGCATTTTATATTTCATATATTTGTAAACACTGATGTTTTTATCCTGTATAAAGAGATTGATTAATAATAATAATAATCAATAGCATGGTTGAATGAGTCGAATGACTGAACTGAAACGTTGCTATTGGATGATTCGTTCATTATACTGAAATACAATGCGTTCATTGACCGTGCACCGTGCACAAAACTGCATAAACGTGAACAAAAAGATAGAACAAAGACTTTAGAGGAGTTTTCAAACCATGTTTTGAAAGACTATGACTCGACAGACACCTATAAAGAAGTACTTATAATGTAAATCAAGTATGCGTTGTAATTTCATGATTGCCAAAATTTAACAAAACAAAAAACACATAGTCGGGAAAGAAATATTCCCCCTTCTCCCCGCTCGCCAGCAATTTTGGGAAAAGAAATATCAATTAGTGGTTGTAGCGACGCGGTACAATTTCCCTTGATTACTCGGCAACATTCACCCCCTCTCCCCCCCACTTCTAGCGCCGTCCCTGGTAATACTTCTAATGTAAACTTCAATTTTTACTTTTAAACACTACGATACGCGCTATAAATATAGTTACTTGTTTACAACGCCAAAATAATTATATTGGAGCTAATTAAAGGCGGTGCGTATTTCGTTTCTTGATGTCTGTAGTCCCTCCTTTCCTTCTAAGGCGCGACTGCTCACAGTCTATAGTCATTAAAACCTGGGTTGGTTTGACCCGGGCTCGTGTAAATTGTTCATTTTGCCTCGCGTATGTTCTCCATACCACTCGAGGATTCACGAAAGAAAAGTATTGGTGAGTAAAAGTGCTGAAAAGAAAGAAACATTTCAACAAACTTGTCAGTCTGGATGCCCAAATTGATTGATTGAAGCACTTCTTTAATCACGATTGAAAGATCCAGCTATAGCTGATAGGGTCGTGATTTAGATAAAGCCGATAGGCCGAAATGATCGACCACTTCTTTGTCTACAAAAATATCGACTTCACCTCTGATGTCATTGCGAGTAAACACCAACCTAAAATTATCGTATTTTGTGATTGGCTTCATAAAGCAATAGCGATCAGTGTTTATGTCTTATGACTCGTTCTTTAGAAAGATAGTTTCTACAGTTCATTGTCTTAATTGTTTATGATCCGATCAACCAATCAAAAATGCGGTGACAAAGCCCGTTCATACCACTAGTCAGTTCCATTCTTTTGTTGTAGTGACTGCAGAGGTGTGACCACCTTCAGTTTCACGTTTATATTTGGGGCAAATAAAATTTATAAAGCACTAATTAGGATGAACATTATATAATCATACTAATTAGGATGAACAATTATATAATGCCGCATGCTTTATCAAATATACGCCCGTATTCTAAAAGCTCACTCACTCTCACACTCAATGAGTGGAGGTTCAATCTGAGCTTCTCTTGAGTGTTAATGCTGTTTTTGAATAGCTGGAAGGCTATAGTGTCATACCTTACTCGATGACTACTCACCCTCCAACTATTCAAGAACAGCATGGACACTCAAGAGAAGCTCAGATTGACCCTCCACTCATTGAGTGTGAGTGAGCTTTTAGAATACGGGCGATAGAGTCACTCCACGTGACATAATTACTATATCGTGTCTGTCTGCAGTTAATTAACATCAGAATTTAGTTTTTTCAGAATAGTGTTTTCATTTGTTTTATTATCGCAGTGTCTGCAACAACCGCCGACTGTCGCAACAAGACAGCTTTTTTTGATTTATTGAATAATTATTGCGACAATCACCGATGAATTACGATAGGCAGGACATCGCCGAGCGTCGCCAACTATTGAAAACGAGCCTTTAAGGGACCATTAATAACCAATCAGATATGTTATATATATTCGATTAACCAATCAGATGCGAAGGCAGTGATAATGGCAGCGGAAGTCAAATCTGAACCTCTAATTTGATCCTTGTAACGTACTACTTGGGTCTAAACGTGGAGCACAACTGCAATGGAAGAAGTTAATTTGAGATATTAGGGAGTTTACGATCTACGACGCGGCCAGCTCAACGACGCGGTTTGATTACTGTAATAAATATTTGACGCTTTTTCAAATGACCTTACAAACTGCTACGTTCGGCTGAAGCGATGCAATGTTTGCTGTAATTTCGACTTTAAGTAACACCTCTTGTGTCGCATTAAGCTTTCGCGTTGCCTGAAAGACGTAATAATGCTTGTTTAACGTTGTGTTGAGAATGACAACGCGGTTGACAATATTATTATTATTATTATTATTACTCATTTATATAGCGCCATTTCCTGTAGCTCAATGGCGCTTAACATTAAGTGTTAAAAATATATACTATATATAAGTACATGCATAATACTAAGGTTGGTAATACATACATTAACTATACTAAAAGTACTATATGTTCTTTTCATTATGAATATAAAATTACTTTATGCTATAAATGTTGACAATATTAAAACAAAACTATATAAAATACTATAAAAATTGGTAATACTCTTGTTAAAATAGTACTTAGTCATAACACTGTTTAAAAAGATGTGTCTTTAATCTGGTTTTAAAAATAGGCAAGGTCTCACTCTTTCTAACATGTTCTGGTAGTTCGTTCCACAGTTTCGGTGCCGCATATGAGAACGATCGTTCACTATAGTTAACCAATTTTACTGAGGGTATTGTGAGCAGTCCCTTGGATGAAGAGCGTAAATTTGCTGATGGTGTGTAAGGTTTTAACATATTGTTAATGTAATGTGGAGCAGCACCATTCAGGGATTTATATGTAATAAGAACAATTTTATAGATGATGCGTTGACTAATGGGGAGCCAATGTAATTGTTTCATTAATGGAGTAACATGGTCGTATTTTCTGCTTCCTGTCACCAGACGAGCAGCACAGTTTTGCACATTCTGTAACCGATCCATAAGAAATTTAGGTAGTCCGTATAGCAAAGAGTTGCAATTATCCAGTTTCGATGTAATAAAGGCATGAACTAGAGTTTGGATATCTGATTTTGATAAGTACTCTTTTATTCTTGCTATTTTCCTCAAATGGAAAAAACAGTTCTTGCAAATGTTGGTAATATGTTTATCCATAGACATGTGTTGGATCGAAAGTTACACCGATGTTTCGTGCTGAAGTACTTGGTTGAACTATTGACTTAGATATTTCTATATGGTGTACAGCAGGGCATAAACGATTTCGTGCATTGATTACTAGTAACTCAGTCTTGTCCCCATTCAATTTTAATTTATTTTTGACCATCCACAAATCAATCTCCTTCACACACATTTCAATTTGTACCAGTGCTCCCGCTTTTTCTTCAGTGGTTGACTCAAAAGCGAGATATAATTGCGAGTCATCTGCGTAAAAGTGAAAGTCAAGACCATGACCTCTAATGATATCACCAAGGGGTGAAGTGTATAGTAAATATAATATAGGTCCGAGAACTGATCCTTGTGGGACTCCACAGCTCAAGTCTTTAGAGATAGATTTAACACCATCAATTACTACACTTTGCGTTCTATTTTGAAGATAGGACTGAAACCATTTCCATACTTGCCCATCTATCCCAAATCGTTTGAACATTCTTTGTAATAAAATTTCGTGATCAACAGTATCGAATGCTGCTGACATATCTAGTAGTAACAACACAACACACTTATGATTATCAATAGCCACAAGAATATCGTTTTGCACTTTTAATAGGGCTGTTTCCACGCTATGAAAACGTTTATATGCCGACTGGAAAGGTTCTTCTAGGTTGTTATTAGCCAAATGTTCCTTCTCAATTACTTTAGACAGGAGTTTTAAATTTGAAATAGGTCTAAAATTTGTGTATTCTTCGTATTCCAAGGAATCTTTCTTTAGTTTTGGTTTCAACACGGCTTCTTTTAGTTTTCCAGGCATACAACCTGACTGAAGTGACTCATTACTGATCTTAGTAATTATAGGTAAGAGAGTCTTCTGACAACTTTGAAAGATTTTTGCGGGATCTGGATCAAGTTCACAAGATTTTTTTCCAACTATATCAATAATATTTTTAATTTCATGTTCCGTGACTTCTTGAAAGTTAATGAATTTAGCGCATTATACATATTGCTCCTCTTGATTTAGCTGATTACAGTGGGAAAAATCAATGACTAGTTCTTGCCGTATAGTAGTAATCTTATTACTGAAGAAATCTGCAAATTTATTCACGAGTTCTGTGGTTGATGACGCAGTTGGATAACGCTTTTCTGACTTTCGATGGAGTAATTTATCAACCGTACTAAATAACACTTTCTGATTATGTGCATTGCTAGAAATAACCGATGAATAGTATGTTGTCTTAGCATTCTTTATCATGGCATTCACTGTCTCACATTGTTTAACATATAACTGTCTGTCAATACATAATCCAGATGCGCGCCAGCGGCGCTCTAATTTCCTGCGATTTCTTTTTTCTTGACCAATCTCTTCATTGTACCATGGTGATAGAGGACGGAGAGTTATAATTCGTCGTTTTTGTGGGGCATGTTGCTGTAATGTTTCTTTCAGCGTATTTTCATATTTATCAATAAGGACTGGGAGATCATAATCATAATCATCATCTAAATCTAGCACTTTTAGATCTTCATTGAAACTATTCATGTTTACATTGTTTCTATTCTGAATAAGCAGAGAACAAACCGTAACATTTTAATGCCAGTTTGTTTGTTAATATTAGGGTTGCTGTCATTGACAATCTTTTTTGACAATTGGCGCGCGAAAGGGGCGTGTTATAAAAAGGGGCATTTTACAAAATACAGGGTCTTACTTGCAGGCCCACTATTCTTCCCTGGGCATGCACGCGGGCTAACTTTAACATTAAGGATTTTGTTAAAAATTATTACATGATGCAAAATGTCCCATGAAAGATCAATATATAACACATTCGAGTGTAAAAAATACGTAGTTATTTTGCAAGAATATTAAAAGATGGTTTGGATAAATTCAAGCCAATATTGAAAGACAATGTAGGTCATTTTTCAAAGCATTTGTTACTGATATATTGAGACCATATATTTACATAGTGGATAAATTAGGGATATTTTGTAAACATACTAATTGTTGGTTTGAAAAATCCAAGCCAATTTGGAGGACACAATATGGTTTGTATTTTAAAGCAGTCGTCACTGATATGTCGAAACAACATATCTGCATAGCGGACAAATTAGGAATATTTTGCAAGCACATAAAAATTTGGTTCGAATAAATCTAAGCCAAAATTGAAAAACACTAATAATTTTTCAAAGCAGTTGTCACTGATATATGTCCAGACCACGTTTATATAGTTCATAAATTAGCGATATTTTGCAAGCAAAATCTGAGCTCACCACAACCGGTCATGGCCTAGACCTTGGGGAAATGTAAACACCTTCGGCCCTGGCCGGGGCCGTAATTTCATGGCAAAGTGTGTCCACTGTGAGAGATTAGTGGACAATGTCAGAAGACATAAAAATACATAAAAAATTATTAATAACAAAATTCTTGGCCAAAGTGAGCCTGTCTCATAAAAATAGTGTAATGGTGTAAACGTGCCACATTTATTTTGGCCTGTCCAAGGCTTGGCCAAGGCTTGTAGTGTAAAGACGACTAATTTTACTCTGTTTAACCCGGCCAGAAACCCTAGGTGATTTTACTTGTCAAGGGGAGAGAGCTGGCACTCAACGACTTCAAAGACCTTGGAAATGCAGGGGAGAGGTGATTACAAGTACAGAATACACAATTAAATACTTAATTTTAATCCATGTAGATGTTAACCGGAAATATGCACTGAACTGATAATCTATTATTAATCAATTATCATATCTATGTTGGGTCAACAGTTTTCTGATTCAGATAGATAACATTGAGATTTCCTCAAGTTTAAATTAATTAATACTCTGAAATAATTTTCATGTTTTAGCTTAAATAGGCTTTTATAGCAAAGCCATATTTATATTCATATTCACGTTTCATATATTGTTTCAAATAATATACTGTGTGGGTTCAAAGATGCTTTCTCGAGCTTTGTCAAACAAGTGCAACCCAGTATTTACTATAATGTGCTTATTCAGAATTTGAATTGTTGGTTTTAGCTTATATTTGGCGTCATTGAAATGAAATAATTTCAATATACAGTATAATATCTTGCGCGTCCAAATTCAAATTTTAGCAGCCAGTACAGCCACAAGATAAAATGAAATAATAGGGTCGATGGACGTTATAATTATATGAAATAAATAGAGAATAATACATGGGTGGGCGGAAATACCAGATTTATTTCGAGTGTTCAACACGATATCTCACGAGTGAGCGCAGCGAATGAGTGAGATATCATGTTCAACACGAGAAATAAATCTGGTATTTCCAAGCACCCATGTGTGCACCCATGTGCGATAATTTTTACAGAAAAGCGATAATTGAAGAGCGATAATTTTCACATGTGAGATTATCATGAATAATCTCACATGTGAGGTTATCACTTTTATCAGTGCTCAAAATCTCTATAAAGCACTAAACTTTATATAATAAAGAGTAATAATACACACCTGAGATCAGTAAGCCTTCGGCGAGACTTAGAGTCACTTATCCAATACGAAATATACCTTTTTTTAGCGAAATATATCCAAATGAAAAAGTCGAAAATTTGCAAATCTCGTTCCATACTCAAATCACACATGACATTTGATACGCGATATTCCACAACTCATTGCGCGCGTGGCCCTTGTCTTCTAAAATAGATACACCAAAAAGCGCTCCCTAGATTTTTTATGCGATTTGAAAATAACATTAAAACTTCATTTCAAAATTTTTCTCTGATTATAAGAATATTATTCTAGGTTGGAAAAATATTATTCTTAAAATAAGAAAAGGATTTTTCGAATATTCCAATTTCCAATTCAGTCTTGCCTTGTTCTCAAAACGAGATTTTTTTCTTGAGATATTGCTTGATAAGAAATAATTAATAATAAGAAAAATAATCTAAAAAATAAGAGCATTATTCTTGACTAGAATGCGATGTTTTGCAGTGCATGTATGATTTTATGCGAAATTTCACTTTTTACTTCATGTGAAATCGTTTTACATATGAAATTTCATTTGTATAACTTCATGTAAAATTTCACTTTTTAACGTTCATGTGAAATCCTTTAAATCACATATGAAATTTCGCTTGTAGCATTATGTGAATTCCTCTCTCATATGAAATTTCACTTTTACTTCATGTGAAATCTTTCACATGTGAAATTTGAATTTTTTACTTCATATAAAATCCTTTCTCGTGTGAAATTTCACTTCTAATTTTTAATATCATGTGAAATCTTTTCACATTCCTGAAGAAAAAAGTCTAAAGGTGGCCTATAGGTTCCTGTAGGAATTGTTCCAATTCCCTATAGAAGCCTTTAGGCACCTATAGAGATATATGGGCTTATAGGCATCCCTATAGGTCACCTATAGTAATGTTCCAATTGCCTATAAAAACCTATAGGTTTCCTATAGAAACCTATAGTTTGGCATATAGGCCAGGCCTATAGACTTTTTTGTTAGGGATGTGAAATTTCACTTGCAATTTCATGTAAAATCCTCTCACGTACATGTAAAATTTCACTTTGTAATTTGTAATTTCATTTGAAAATGAAATCCTTATGACCTTATCCTTTCACATGTGAAATTTCACTCGCTTCAGATGTGAAATTTGGTGTTCACACTAGCTATTTAACAATTGCACTTATTTCTTTCTTACAAAATTATGTATTATTAGTATACTATATATATATATTTACATTATATTTCATAATATGTATTTACAGATGAAGAGTGCGTAGCGGTAAAATAAGCAGAAGCTTTCGAATTTGCCACTACCATTATGAAATTATATTTGAATATTTAAAACTAAATTAAAAAAAAGTTAATCTCTATAGTATTTAGTGCTAGTGTTTCTAAGTGTATAGTATAATTTACAAAACTTATTTTATATTCATGATTACTATAATATCATTTTTTAATAACATGTACAGTAAGTCTAGTCAAATCTGTCATGTAACTCTACTTTACTATTAAGAAGAAACATTTTATACTGTTTTTTGAAACTACAAAATGGCAAAGATTTAATCTGTATAGGAATTTTTTCCCAATTGTTTGGAAGATTTGTTTTGAATCGGGTTAGCCCATAATTTGCTCTAGAAGCTGGTCTGTATAGGATCTGCTTGGAGGCATATCTGGTGTTATAACTATGAACATCAGATGCTTCCATAGTTAAATTTAATAAGGCTTTAGGAACTTCTGTTTTCCGAATTATTATAGTTTATGAACAAGAGATGATATTTTCAGGTTAGAGATATTTTCAAGTTTCAGTATTTCGAGAAGTTGAAAATAGGCCGTTACATTTTCGTTTGTTCTTGAGAAAAAGATTGCACGAATACATTTGTTTTGTTTAGTTTTATTTCATCCAATCTAGTTGGACAGGCATTGCCCCAGCTCATGATACCGTAATTGTAAAGTTGTTTTCAGCATATGAATGGATACGAAATGTCTTAGTTTATTTATAACTCTAGTGTTCTTGGCCATTTTGTTTTGTATATGTTGCAGTTGATCATCCCATTGTAGATGCTCATCGATAAAAACACCCAAATACTTTATCTTCTTTTTCCTTTTTATGTCGCATGTTTTTATTGTTATACCACATTTGTTCCTTGGTGAGGTAATTAGCATGTAATCTGTTTTTTTAAAGTTGATAGAAAGCTTGTTATTATTGCAGTACTTCAGTACATACTTTAGTTTATTATTAATTGTTTTTTCTAGCTCATTTACGCTGTTTGAGGAATAGAAAATATTTGAATCATCAGCGAAAATTCTAAATAAAAACGTTTTCGAACAGTTAGGTAAATCGTTGACATATAACAGGAAGAGTAGTGGTCCTAAAGTAGATCCCTGTGGGACACCACAAATCATTGTTCTCATACTAGATTCTGTTGCACCAATTTTCACGTATCGTTTGCGATCAGATATGTAGCTTGAAAACCATTTATTCGCCACTCCACGAATGCCATAGGAATATATT